AGGATACTAATTTGAAAAGAACTCAAACTTTCGCTATTTGCAGATGATATGATAGTTTACATAAGTGACCTGAAAAACTGCCAGGGAACTCCTACAGCTGATAAACACCTTCAGCAAAGTGGCAGGAGACAAGACTAACTCAAAAAATCAGTAGCTTTACTATATACAGAAAATAAGAGGGCTGAGAAGCAATCAGAGAAGCATCACCCTTTAAAATAGCCACAAACAACATAAAATGTCTTGGAGTAACACTAACCAAACAAGTGAAAAACCCATATATGAAGAACTTTGAGACATTAAAGGAAGAAAATAAAGAAGTTACCAGAAAATGGAAAGATCTCTCATGCTCTAGAATAGGTAGGATCAACATAGTAAAATGGCAATCTTGCCAAAAACAATCTCCAGATTCAATGCAATCCCCATCAAAACACCGGCACAATTCTTCACAGACCTTGAAAGAATAATATTCAGCTTTATATGGAAAAACAAAATACCCAGAGTAGCTAAAACAACATTGTACAATAAAGGAACTTCTAGAGGCCTCACCATCCCTGGCTTCAAGCTCTATTATAGAGCTATAGTCCTGAAAACAGTTTGGTATTGACACAAAAATAGACAGGTAGACCAATGGAATTGAATTGAAAACACTGACATTAATCCACACACCTTTGAGCACCTAAGTTTTGATAAAGAAGCTTAAATTATATAATGGAAAAAAGAAGCCATCTTCAACAAATGATACTGGCATAACTGGATGCTGGCATGTAGAAGACTACAGATAGATCCATATCTATCACCATGCACAAAACTTAAGTCCAAATAGATCAAAGATTTCAACATAAATCCAGCCACACTGAAACTCTTAGAAGACAAAGTGGGAAGTACCTTTGAATGAACTTGTACAGGAGACTAATTCCTGAACATAACACCAGTAGCATAGATACTGAGATCAACAATTAATAAATGGGACCTCCTGAAAATGAGAAGCTTTTGTAAGGCAAAGGACACAGCCAACAAGACAAAACAGTAGCCCACAGAATGGGAAAAGATACTCACCAGCTCCACATCTGACAGAGGACTGATCTCCAAAATTTACAAAGAACTCAAGAAGCTAGTCTCCAAAACACCAAATAATCCAATTAAAAAGTGGGGGACAGAATTAAATAGAGAATTCTCAATAGAGGAGTCTAAAATGGCTGATAGACACTTAAGAAAATGCTCAACATCCTTAGCCATCAGGGAAATGCAAATCAAAACAACTCTGAGATACTGTCTTACTCCTGTCAGAATGGCTAAAATCAAAAACACTAAGGACAGTTTATGCTGGAGAGGAAGTGGAGAAAGGGGAACACTCCTCCACTACTGGTGGGATTGCCAACTCGTACAGCCACTTTGGAAATCAGTATGGCAGTTTCTCAGGGAAATGGAAATCTGTCTACCTCAAGATCCAGCAATTCCTCTCTTGGGCATATACCCAAAGAATGCACATTCATACAATAAGGACATATGTTCATCTATGTTTATAGCAGCATTATTTGTAATAGCCAGAAGCTGGAAGCAACCTAGATGCCCCTCAACTGAAGAATGAATAGAGAAAATGTGGTACATTTACACAATAGAGTACTACTTGGCAGAAAAATAAAAGCAATGGAATCTTGAAATTCACAGGCAAATGGATGGCACTAGAAGCAACCATCCTGAGGGAGGTAACTCAGTCATAAAATGACAAACATGGTATGTACTCACTCTTATATGTATATTAGACATAGAGCAAAGGACTACCTGACTACAATCCACACCACCAGAGAAACTAGGGAACAAGGAGGAGTCAAAGAGAAGAATACATGGTCCACTGAAGAAGGGGAGAGGGAGAAGAACCCTGACCAAATTCAGAGCACTGGGGTGGAGAGAAGAGGGAGATTGGAAGGGGAGAGGAGGAGAAGGGGAGGGAGAAGAGAACAGGAGGGATCAGGAGGACTGAGAGAGGGAGGGAGTAGAGGAGGTCAAGAAAGGAGATGCCTTCATACAGGGAACCAGTATAGGTTTGGAGAGAGGTCTGGCACTGGAGAAAAGTTCGGGGATCCACAGGGATGACCCCAGCAAAGAATTTAGGCAGTGGAGAGGCTGCCTTCGATGCCCTTCCCCTATAATGGGACTGATGACTTGGTTGCCATTCCTAGAGCCTTCATCCAGAAGTTGATCGAAGGAGATGCAGGCACTCACAGCTAAACACTGAGCCATACTCCTGGAATCCAGTTGTGGATAGGGAGGAGGGATGAGCAAAGAAGCCATGACCTTGCTGGAGAAACCCGAAAAAAAAAGTTGACCTGACCTAGTGAGAGCATGGAGACCCTAGTGGCAAAGATGGTGAACCAGTATTGGATCGAACCAAGCCCTCTGAATGTGAATGTCAGCTGGGAGGTCTGGGAAGTCTATGGGACCTCTAACAGTGGAGCCAGTGTTTATCTCTAGTGCACAAATGGCTTTAGGAGCCCATTCCCTAAGGAGGGAGACTATTGTAGCCCACAATACACAAAAGAGGTCCTAGGCCCTCTCCCAAATGATATGAGGGACTTTGATGGCTCCCTGTGGAGGGCCTCACTATCCTTGGGGAGTAGGTGGGGGGGGGCTTAGGAGGGTTGGTGGGAAGCATGGGAGGATGGGAAAGCGATAGAATGGGAGGATTAATATGAAAATAAGATTGTTTCTAAAATAAAAAATTACAAAAAAAATTACCATTGGACTAAGTTAAAAATAACTTGATATCATTCTCTAAAACCAACACATATCCATCCTATCTTTAGTTTCAGGACTAATTGCTACTGGGTTTTTTCCCACAAAAGATATGATACATTTAATTTACTGCTTTAATAAAATAAAGAGGTTTCGGTAATTTCCACTGAGCCTTTAACACTCAAATAGTCTTTACTCCATTAAGCACATGAGCCTCAGGAGAGCATACTGTGTGCTAGTTTTCTAGACTTCAGGAAATCATTGTTATTTTGAGCACTGATCAATAATTCTCAAAAATCTAGTTAAAAGCTAAATTGTTTTCTAGTAATCAAGTATCTTGACAAAGTCAATACTTGGTGAATGTCAGGTGACTTAGAAATAACTTATTCAAAAGACTTAGAAGTCCACCTCTTTAGGTAAGAGGCTACCGGTGGGAGAATTCTCTCTTATCCGGGGTTTGATACAGTGTCACAAGTTAATTTTCTCTAAAGTTTTATTATTTTATTTTCTTAGAACTTCATATAGGAATACTGCCTCTGTATTACTCCTACTCCTCCATCTCCCCTTAAATTCCTCCTGTGCCCTCTCCCTCCCTAATCCATGACCTCTTCTTTAAGATCATGTTTTACTTATAAAGATCAAATAGAACCCTAATGACCTGCTCATTAAATTCAACACAAATACCATAATCAGTAGCCCCTACAAAGATCTCAGCAGGTAAATCACTTTGATTATTATCTCTACATTTTTCCCACTAAGTTTGAAAAGGCTCCTATTGCTTCTAGAAAGTGTCTACTGACAATAACAGACCATATGACATTCATCAAAACCAAAGATTTAAAACAAAAACAGGAGGCATAGTTCACCTTTATTCCCAATCTATGGTGGATTTCCATGGTTACAGGCTGAATTATGCTTCTCAAAAAATTCTTTGTGAAACCCATTACAACCACTGGTACATCAGAATGTGGCCCTGTTTGGAGATCAGATCTGTAAAAGAGGAGTGAATTTAAAGAATATTTTTAAGGATGTGCCCTAACACAATCTGACTAGTAGCCTTCAGAGAAGAGAAATTGAACATTCAAAAAGATAACAAGTATGCACATGCACAGAAGTAAATCCATACAGTGGCCTTCCGAAAAGCCAAGAAGGAAGGTCATGGAAGAATTCAGACAGTATGATCTGGAACAAGAACAACAAGATCCTTAAGAAGTGGAAGAAAATAAATTTCTACTAAGCCAGGTGGTCTGTGGAATTTTGTTATGGCATCCACAGAAAACTGACATACCTACTCATGTACATTTTAAGAGAAACACTGTCTTTTATCATTGTACATTTCTCCATGAAGGCATATTTTCTGAGTCCTTTGAGAAGATGATCAAGAAGAAACATGTAGCAACTAGATTGCACTATTCCCAGACCCCAGAATCTTTGCATTTCTTCTTCCATGGGTTATCTGTCAACCTAGCTTTCTTTGATTTTTACCACCGCTAAGTGCATTAGCAATCCTGGAAAACACAGGGTAACTTACTCAAAGCTATTTTCCTGAAATTGGATAGATTTATATAAATTTGCACCAAAAAATAGCTATGGCCAACACAATAAGAATCTGGTCTGGTAAAATCCCCAGTTATCATTAAAGACCCACTCTGTCATAGTTCAGATTACCATAACAAATGCATAGCTTAAATTGAGTTCCTTGAACATTTGAATTTGTTTCCTTATGGCCTGGATGCTAGGTGTTAAAGGCTAGGGTGTCAACATGGTCAGTTTCTAGTGAAGGTTCTCCTCCTGGCTAGTAGATGTTTACCTTCTCAGTGTGTTCTCACAGAAGCCTTTCTTTAGTTTCTATTAGTGGAAGAATAGAGAAAGAATGTTCATAAGAATACTGAACACATTGGATCAGGACTCCATGCTCACAGCCTCCTTTAGCCTCAGTGACTTCCTAAAGGCCCAACATCACATTGAAAGCTAGAGCTGCAATGAAACAAAGTTTAGCAGGACAGCAGTGTTTAATACCAACCCCTTGATAACACCAATAGAAGAGTTAGTGGGACCATGCACTCAACAGCAGATAATGACTATTTATAAGCTGCTACATTTCCAATAACCCAGGTTTTCTCAATTAGTTAGTATTTGAACATGTTTGAACAGTGTTCAAACTGACCAAGGAGGTCTAGTAAGGCTGTGAATTCAATATATTATTTAGAACCTGTTAACTTATATCTCAATTATTAGTACTTCAGCTTTAAGAGATGAAGAGAAAGATGCTCACTTTGGCAGCACATATACTAAAACTGGAAAGATACAGAGACAGTTGGCATGGTTCCTGCACAAGAATGACACATTCATGAAGCATACCATATTTTTTAAAGAAAATGTGGCACACTTACACAATGGAGTATTACTCTATTGTCAAAAAACAATATCAAGAATTTTGCAGGCAAATGGATGGAACTAGAAAAAAAAATCATACTGAGTGAGGTGACCCAAACCAAGAAAGACAAACATGATTTGTATTCACTCATAAGTGAGTATTAGCTTTAAAGTAAAGGATAACCATGCTATAATCCACAGACCCAGAGAGTCTAGGTAACCAAAAGGGCCCAAGAAGGCACACATAGATCTCAGGAGAGGGGAAATATAAGAGATCTCCTGGGAAGACTTGGGGGGCATGGGAAATTGAGGGATTGGGTTGCAGGATGGGTAGAGGAGGACAGTGCTGAGATAGATGACTGGAAATAGGGGCTTTACTGGGTCAGGTTGAAGCCTGATGCAAGGGAAACATCTATGAGTCTACAAGGATGGCCCCAGCTGAAATCCCTGGCAGTAGTGGATGCATAACTTGAAATGGCCATCCCCTGTGGTCAGATGGGTGACTACCCTGCTTGTCATCAGAGAGCCTTCATTCAGTGACTAATGGAGGCAGATTCAGAGGCCCATACCAAACATTTGGCCAAACTCTGGGAGTCCTGCTGAGGAGAGGGAGGAGATATTGTAGCTGGGAGGACATTACAGAAAAACACAGAAACCATTAGGCTGACTCATGGGAACTCAGAGTCTGAACCAACAATCAGGGGAGCCTGAATGGGACTGACCTAGACCCTCTGCATATGTGAGATAGTTGTGTAGCTTGGTCTATTTGAGGGACTCCTGGCAATGGGAGCCAAGTCTATCCTGGTGCTTTGGCTGGCTCTTGGAAGCCATTTCCTCATGCTGGATTGCCTAATTCAGCCTGAATCCAGGGTGCTTGGTCTTATGGAAGCTTGATATGCCATGCTTTGCTGATGCCCATAGGATGCCTGGACATTTCTGAGCATATATGGAGGGGTGGTTGGGGAGGGGATGAAAAGGGGGAGGAAGTGGGATGAGAGGAGGGAAATGAGGCTGCATCTGGGATATTAGATAAGTAGATAGATAGATAGATAGATAGATAGATAGATAGATAGATAGATAGATAGATAGATAGAATTTTTAAGAAGGAGATAACCAATTCATTCAGTGGATTATAGTCATGTCATAGTTGCTGTATTTTTCATTCCTACTTTAAAACTCCCCATAAAACTCTTCCAAAGGTTAGCCTTCTCTAGGCACTTATTCCTGGGGAAACCAAGATCAAGATCATTGAAGGGAGACCTCTGCTTATGTGCAACTGAGTATAAAGATCCAATTTTCCAGGGTTACCAAAAACATTACTATCTTCAAATTCAACCAAGTCAAATAACCAATCCAAATTCTCACTAAAGGTTATTCTAAGAAAGAGGGGTTTGGTGGTGGAATGGGAGGAAGAAAGGGAGAGGGAACTGGGATTGGTATGTAAAATAAGATTGTTTTTAATTTAAATAAAAATTAATAAAAAAAAAAAAAGAAACAGGTGCATAATGGAATTTAACCAGATGTTAGTGACACAGATTGAAGTCTTGAAGTTAGGGACTAAGTATAGAAGTTGCACCTTAGATATGAGAAGCTGCCACCACCTCTGCAACTCCTTCTTGACCCCACAGCAGCTGCCTTCTGACATTGTCTCTGTGGCTTCTCTAAAACAGCACCAAGAATATAATCATTCTTTTGCTACAAAAATCTTTCCTGAAGTTATACCAATCTCGAGACAAGTACAATGGATTCTTGGAAGTGTACTTTTAACTTTTAAGACTGCGTGACACAAGAATTCACATAAAAGTATAAGCACAAGACTTGAGTGTGAATTGTCCAATATAGCACCACTTCAACCACTTAGTTCTCCTAGTAGACTCTTCAATTGTCCCCAAAGGTCTTTAATTCTGCAAATTTTGTAGGAGGTTTTTGCATTCTTTTCAGCCTCTGTTTATCCTGGAATATCTTGGAAAATGCAACATTTTCATACCTGAGGGGATTTTTATGAGCAAAATAGTCAAGATTTCTAGCTTCTTCTCTCTGCTAACATTTTCTCAGCTTATTTACAATAGCCACTTTGAAAAGAAAATATTCAACTTTTCTAAGCAATTTTCTTCATGCATGCTGGCTGGCAAGCTAGGACTTGAGTACTAAACTTTATTCTATGCACTATGGAGCAGGGTGGGGGAGGTAGAAGATGATAGATATATTGGGTACCTAAGGCTGCCACACAAAGTGCCACAAAATAGATGGCTTAAAGCAAGAGATTTATTCTTTTGCAAGTATTGGAGGCTGGAAAGCTAAAATCAAGGAGCCAGCAGTGTCATAGTAATCTCTGAGATGATGGGCTCTATCGAATGTATCTATGATCCTATTGCTCATACAGCAGGATGGGAGAGAGACTGGAGAATCCATAGAAATCTTTAACTAGCTAGCCTGCCAGCAGCAATGTCAAGCAGCAAAGAAAAAACCTTGCCTCAAACAAATCAGAATGTAGGGCCCAAGACCCTGACCTCCACATGTTTACTATCACGCACACACACACACACACACACACACACACACACACACACACAATCCATACATATGAACATGCACAAATATTCATAGGCACACATGCATCAAACATACAAAGAAAAGATAGAGTAGTCACTATTAATTTTAAGTCAATTTTTTTTAATTTCTCAAACTCATTTTAACTTAACAAAAACAGTGTAGATTCACTTATTTATTTAGCAAATATTTATCAAGAACATTGTTTGCCAAATGTTCCATACTCTATATCCACAGCTAGGAAAAATCTCTGCCCTCTAGACACTTCTTGTTAGTGCAGTAGAAAAAAATGTGACTCAGTGCAAAGCACAGCATTATATCATGCAGATATTAATAACATGGTATTGTGGGATCAAGATAAAAGCTAAACAATCTACACTAGGAATGGGGAAGTCAGAAAAGGCATCCTATCTAGGAGAAATTTTGCACTGAGTAATACAGAGTTCAGAAAGGCATTACAAAGCAAGGAACACCACATATAAAAACAAAATGGGGAGTTACAGCACAGCACATTCTGGGAGCTACAGTAAGATCAATGTTGACTGAATTAAAATGAGAAATGTGAATAATGAGAGGGGCAGTAAGTGGTTTTCATCAAAACAGGAGCCAAGTTATGAAAAACTTCCATAACAAGAGCAATAGAAAACTCTATAACCTTGAGGAGTGCTCACTTGTGTCTGTCCTCATCTTCTGGAACCTTGAAGAATACTCACCTGTGTCTGTCTTCATCTGTAACCTTGAGGAGTGCTCACCTGTGTCTGTCCTCATCTTCTGTAACCTTGAGGAGTGTTCACCTGTGTCTGTCCTTATCTTCTGTAACCTTAAGGAGTGCTCACCTATGTCTGTCTTCATCTGTAACCTTGAGGAGTGCTCACCTTTGTCTGTCCTCATCTTCTAGACATATGATTCTACTTTACAGAAAGTAGGTTGGGGTGATGGTATGACTAGTCCTAGCCAATAGGCTGTGAACAGTGGTAATATACATCACTTCTAGTCAAAACAAAGAAAGAAGTCAGGCCATGTTCATTTTTCTTTTCCTTGTCTGGAAAAAAAAAAAACAGTTCTATTCCGATAGTAAAGCCTCCATGTAAGGCAGAATATACAGGCTATATTCATGGATAACATGGGACACTGGGAGTAAGACTTAAGCTTTTTTTTTCAGTAATCACCTACATTTTCAGTTAATTTTCTACTGCAGCATAGCCTAGTATTAACACAATGACATAGGCACAATTTCTAGTTGGAAGGAAGGAAGTTGGGATGCCTGGAAGGACCTTTACAACACTAGATTCCACTCTGTAAATACAGTTTCACCTAGCTTATTTATGGTGCTAAATTTGAAGGCAGCATGAACTCAACAAGTCACTTCTTGAGTAGATCTAGATAAATAGAAACCATCAGTTTCCAAAAAGTAAGTGCACCCCCAACCAAATGTACTTTTTTAAAATGCTCATATGAGCCAATTAAAATGTGAAAGGTTCCAACTTCTAAAATCTTTTTCTTGACAACAAACTAGGAATAGAGGTCAATGTCCAAGCTACACCTCTACCTCAAGCTGTGTTAAGCTCAGTGCTGGCTCATGATAAATGTTAAGCTGCAACTATATCCATTTGATTTTTTCCAAAACTAGGTTTTGATTTATCTTATTGTGACTTTTGAGTGTCTGGAATTTTCCCAAGTGAACTAAAATTCCACCATCCGGCAAGAGCAGTGCTCATTACCTGTGTTAATTTCATCTCTTTCCCTGCGTTCAGGAAACCCATTTGCTGCAACTCCAGCTGTGAGAAAAAGAGAAGAGCAAGAGAGAGAGCAGGCCTAACACAGAGGTTTGGAGATTCACAGGCAGGAATAGCACATACACAGGAGCAAGGAACCCTCACAGTAGGTACAACTAGAGCCACCGAACAAAACAAGGCAAAATAAATTCAGAATATTAAACACAGACTGACAAGTTCTTGACCCATTATTTTTAATATTCATATTTTCAAAATATTGAAATAAGAATGAAATTCACTTTAAAATTTTTATAAAAGAGCCTGTGTTATAAAAGCAGACCCTGCATCAAAGTACATGGAACCTAAGTTTCAGCTCACACTGCTAGAAGCACACACTGAATTCCTGAGTTGGGTATGGAGAACTGTACAGAAATGGCAAATATAAAGTATCACATGTAGGTGCCCTGGCAGTGGGGAAGCAGCCCATCTCCTCATTAATCTGTTAAGGTTTCTCTGCAATTCCATCGTGGGAGGAGCCACACCTGGTGACATTTCTCACCCCTGCTGCCTTCTGAGGGGACTTCCTGATGCTCTGTGGAGTTGCTGAAGGTGAATAATGTGTTATTTTTTTTCCTCTTCAGATTGATAAACAAGATTGTACTGATTTAGAAGGACACTCAACAAGCTCTATTAATACCTGAGAGGCAAGAAAATGATTTGTTATCAAAT